AATTTTAAACAGTTTTTTTTTTTTTTTCTGGACAAGTCCGGAAACCCAGAATATGGGTGAGGTGGGAGAGTCCCCCCCCGCCGTTTGCAAATGCTAATAACTAGTTCATATTTCTAGATCGATCCTTTTAAAGCTGTGAAAAGTGAAAGAAAAAGAAACGAGAAAGAAAAAGAAAAAGACCAGCAACTATTTTCTAAGATTTTAAAGCGATAGGCGAGTCGGAGGAACCGAGATTTATTTGGGCGAAGGCAAGATTGCACGAAGCCGATCCAGTTTTTGGAAGACCAACCCACCTGCTTGGAAATTGGGACTGTTGATTCCTCCAGTTAACGTAATATGTTCGGTGTTAATCGTATTTATTTTATTTTATGGAGGGGGGAGGACGCTAGGAGGGTGCACTGAAAAAAAAAACAAAAAACAAAAAACAAAACAAACTGAGAAGATCGAAGTGGGAACTATTGTTGGACCGAGTCGGTTTTTACCTCAACAGCGCCACCTTTCGGCAAAGGTCAGTTGAAATTGATCCGTGTCCAGTTTTGTTACAGTGAAAAGAAGCTGGTTTCCCAGGGTAGGAGGAGAAAAGAGGCACAGAAAAGTTAGTTGCACTGCAGTCTGAGAAGCCGACCTTGTAGGAAAGAGGCCGGAGAAAGTGCTAGTAGATGCGGGAATCGTTTTTACCCTTCTATCTCTCTTCATTGTTAAGAGAGGCCAGGGAATGCAGAAGCCCTGGGGGTACAATTCTGGCTCAAAGACCTCAGCAAGTGGATCCTGCCCGGGCCCCAAACCCTTTAAAAGTACCAGGATGGCTTTTCAACGGGCTTTATGGCAATATTGATAGAATTAAAGTTACTTGTAATCCCATGATAAATGAGATGTCTCTAGTAAGATTAAGTGCAGCGCTATAAAGTTGTTTATCTGAAAAGTAATTCTCAGAAAACCTGACTTCTGACACTTAGTCATATATTAAGCCAGCTTCTTGAACATTGCACTCTAGAATGGTCTGAGCCGCCCCGCAGTAGCGTACTTTACTATTTATAACAAGACCTTAGGTGTCGCTCCCTGGCTTCCTACTCCAGATAAGACCTATGTTCATTTCTCTGATCCTGGCAGCCTTGGCTTTGAGCAAACCCAGGAATCGTGCTGGAGGGCTCCCCAGACCAGCTGCAGGGACATCCTCATCCTAAAGGCCAACGCTGTGGCTACTTTCCACGCTTTTCCCCCCCACCATAGCTGCAGAGAAGTTGTTTATAAGCATAGCTTGGATTTTACAGGAGTGCTTTCTTGGGGTGGAGTGAACTATTCCTGGCCCCAGTTTGGGGAAGAAAGAGTGAAGATTAGGTCAATATTTATGCAACTCAAGAGCATTCCCTTGCTTTCTTCCTATTTAACAGCATTTTACCTAGAAATGAAGTTAAGGGATTATAGTTTGTGTACTCAGTGGAAAATCCACTGCTTCAATTAGATGAACATTAGGTTGCTTAACATTGCTCATAGCAATCATTTTCTAGATCTTTTTTAAAAAAATCACTAGCAGCAAACATCTGAAATTTATATATTTCATTTAAAATATAATTTTTGTGTACTTAGGAGGAATTAATTGTTTTGTTTACGGTAATTTTTAAAAATCTCTTTTCATCCCATTTTTTTTGTTGTTGTTAAAAGCTGCAAAGTATGATCCCTACCTCTCAAAAAAGTACTTTTGGCCAAGAACACGAACACTGCTACAATTATAAATAAACATTTTATAAACAAAATTTGCTAATGACGAAGTCCATGCCATACAGTTTCATGACCACATACCTAATTGTTGCAATTATATATCATTTCTGGAAATGAAATGCCTATGTTTGGGCAGCTAAATGTATTATTATCTGCACATTTTTATGGTTTATTTTTGTTCACTACTGTCAAGCCATGGTATTTTTTTTTCTCTTTTTTCAGAGTCTTTTATAGTCTCCCATTTTCTCTTGAAAAGAGAGAAGTCAGAATTATTTTTTTAGATGTGTAGCTGGCGTAATCTCAGGCTTACAACTTAATTCTCATTTTTATCCTTTTTACTTTATTATTTAGTGATTCACAGGGGTGTCTAAACATTTACAGTTCTTTGTTAGCAGCATTTCTTTTGTAACAATTGAGCTCTCTCATTTTAATTAGTACTATTCAGGTTTCTGATACTCTACAATTACAGCAGGCCACATTTCTTTGGACTTCTTTGCTAACATTGTTTGTTTCACTTCTATCCAAGCCAATCTAATCCAAATACAATATGAACTGTGTTTTCTTACTGCCTAATATCCCCTCAGTATATATATTCTAGTAATCTCTGTGGAACAATATCCAGTAACTCAGAAAGCATGCGGTTGTCACTATTGACCAATACAAACCAGTAGCCTTAAAGTTTCTGAAAGCAATGAATATTTATAGAAGATCCTGAGGGGAGGAGGGCATGGGTCGAATCATGCAGAAGATTTCACAACAGTAACATCACAAATGCAATTGTGGTTTCGTGGCTGTGCATCCATGTCCATAACAACTTTATGCATGTAGGAGAAGGGGGGGGAGGCGGGGGGGGGCTGCATGTCCAAATAGCAAAGATTAAAAGCTAAAAGGAATATATTTTTCTTGATGGTGAGTTATAGCAACTCAAATATATCATGTTGGAATCAGACATACATAATCTGAAGAGAACAGGGTGTATGGAGGACAACATCAGAGCTCTTTGTTTATCTAGGAGCTGGTTTTTATGGTGTGGAACTACCCAGTGTCCACTGAATTTCACTATACAACCACCTAAATTGATGTGAGAAAGAGTTCTTGAGAGAGTAACTTAGTGATAAGACGTACACTGTTCTCAGGTCCAATGTTAGATAAATCCTTTTAACAGTCTTCAGTTAGCAGGGTAAGTAAATCACAAATCACTGTTAGCAGATTCATGGGAGAAAATTAATAGAATCAGACGAGATAATCTGATAAGGGCAAAATTGCTGAGGAAACAGTCTTGCCTCGTACTGCAGGATGTGAAACAACAGTCTGATTACTAGGAGTCGTTATGAATAGGAGAATTATGTGCTAAATAATCATCAGAGTAATTCAGCATTTATTAATTCTTTTCTCTTTAAGCAATTCACAGTTGTAAGTTAAAGCCACTCTCTCTTTGAAGACACATCTTTCATAATTTTTATTAGAGGCAATTTATTATTTGCATTACCTGTATTTACTTCATAATTGAACATTTTGCATTCAAATTTATGTAATGCATTATGCTTGAGAATATATTTCTGCCCGATTAGCATAAATAGTCACTTACCTCATGAATTACTAACAAAGTTTATCTTAAAATATAGGTTTTTTTATTAAGTGGAACACAAACATATGTACAATAAATTCTGATTTTCCGGTGCAGTTAGAGAACAACTCATGTTACAGGGAAGCAAGAGGAGGAGGAGATATGTAGACAAATGAGACCTGCAGGTTTTTTTCCAAGGGTATCATTTAGGTGGGGGTAGACAGGGCTGGAGAATGCACCGTGCTTCTCATACACTGTTTGGATTATTGACTAGGTGATCTCAACGTGAACTCTGGATTCTGAAAAAAAAAAAATTAGCAATTTCTGTCCCTTGGAAGACCACAGTACTAAGTCAGTAGTACTGACAGAACCAGGGGAGAGCGTTGTTTATTTTATTTTTATTTTATTTGTATTTGTCTTTGCAGGGCTCTTCCTTGCACGAAATTCTGGTTGTGGACAAGAGATGTGAGAAAGCTAGAAGTTTTCTGGGAAGCTGTGCCAGATTTCACCCAGATCTGACTCCTTCATTTATCTGACAAACTCCCAGCATGGCCTGGCAGACAGGAGGCTCTGATTTAATAAATAGTTTGGGGGATACATGAACATTGGAATTAAAGGGCCTCTGTGGTCTTCAGAAGTAGACAGAGATGTAAAACCAAGGGGCCTCTCTTCCCGGATTGCCACCTTTTTTCTATTTCCCCTTTCCTTTTGCAGGGCATAGCTGTCTGCTTCAGCTTAGACTTTTCGTTCCCTTCAACTAAGGACTGACTGTGACTTGCTTTTCCATCCTCATAGCTTGTGATCCCATGCACAGCTCATGCCAGTGAGGGAATTTATCTCCAAAGCATTTGTCCTTTCAAAGATTTTACTGTCATTGACTCAGAACTGCTCTTAAGCAAAGCAAAAGAGAAAGGAAAGAAAAGAAAAGAAAAGAAAAGAAAAGAAAAGAAAAGAAAAGAAAGAAAAGAAAAGAAAAGGAGCCTGATATCAGGAGAAGCTTTTCTAGGTGGTGTCTTTTATGCCTGATAACTCAGAGGACACAGGTTGGGTGGTGGTGCTGGCCCTGAAGTTTTGTCCCCTCCCTTCCTGCTCCTGGTGAGGGGGACTCGGTAGCTGTTGCTCCACAATGGTTGAGCAGCCATTCAACTTGGGAAAGAAACGCAGTTCTAAAAAGCACAGAGCAAACTTTCTCCACAGAAATTCTTCTGTAGTTATGGGGAAAGGATGCCGAAGCAGGTGTTTTCTGGATTTGTGAGTTTCTGGATTTGTTTGGCCTGGGCCTAAGGGAGAGGGGGGAAAAGGGGTGTCTTCCAGCTTTGTTTTACATTGCAGTTCTCATTTGCCTCCTGGGTGTGGCTGAGCTCTCTCAGGCGTTGTTCTGTGCATTGAAAATACCAGACATAGCCAGAATGCCCTCACAGCAGCCCCAAGGCAGCAGAGCATTCCCAATCAGGATCTGCTGAAGGACAGGAAGTGAGGCCAACACCTCCACCCACCCCAAATAAATATCAAGGTCAGATATAGCCCTTGTGATAAGCTTTTTTATTTAGCGATGCTGTAACAGTGATATACGTCCTTTGTTGAATGTGAGTGCCTAGACAAGACAGAAATGGGAAGTGTTATCAAAGGACGACACCAGTCCTCATTCGGACTTTTCAAACAGATACAGCAGACACAGTGTCCTGGGCCATGGAAACATTTTAACTTCTTTTAATATCAGAAGAAGAGAAAGCACAAGTTCCCTTTCACTATATCACCACTGTCATAAAATATAATCATATATATAATATAATCACACATATATAATATAATCATATATATAATATAATCACATATATATAATATAATCA